TAGTAATCATCTTACCTTCCAAATTTTAATATGATCTGTTGATGTATCCAATTCCATTGTTGCATAGTCGTCAGGAACTTTACTTATCAAACTGAATGGAACATGAATTAAGTATAGGTCAAGATAGTCCAACTGCAAATCTTTTAAACTTTTTTCTATCGTTTTTTCCAAGTCTTCAGGTCGATTAAAAAAAGGTGGAAGCTTTAATTATAAAGATATATTCCATTACATGTTTTTAGTATACAATAGAGTTATAATATATAATTAAATTGAACCTTAAAAAAATATATATGTTTCTATACCTTAGAAGTAATAAAAACATCTTCTCTGCTGATTTGACCAGATTCAAACCATTCTTTTAATACTTCACCAATAACATGCTCATTTCCGTATGCGGTAGCAGTATCGATGTGCCGATATCCAGATTTTAGTGCTTCATTTAAAGCTGTTTTAAGTTCACTCTCTTTCGCCTAAAATATTCAAACAATATTTTATTACAAAATTTTGAAATAATTTTATATTGGTGATATCAGTAGCACTAAACTTCAAGTGAAATAGTTAAGTGAATCATATTTTAATAAATCCAACAATAGTAGTTTAATACAAATTTAAGATTAATTACTTATCAAAACATATTAATGGTGCATATTAACGACTTTAACATAGTTTATTCTATTATATAAGAAAGCAATAAAACAACTAATAAGTTAATTTGACGGCTATATAGTTACTGATATATTCTATTCATTATTAAATACATTGAATTATTATTATGAGCTAAAATATAAATTGGACACGTCTTTTTTCATAAAATATGAAATAAATATCTTTGATTACATAATAATGTTAAATGACCCAATAAGTTGTTAAAATGTACAAGAATAACTTAATTTAAAATAACACTTAAATAATAAATGCTAAATACAATATAGTAAGTTAAAACATTACTATTAAAAGAATCTAAAAACGAATTTTAGTTAATTAAATATAGACTTCAATAACACAAAAATAGTATATATGGTCGAGTATTAACTAGTAACGTATATTAACTATCGAACCATTCGATAGTCAAAAACTATTCGATTAGTAAAAATATTCCATAGTCTTTACTAAAAATAATCTATTCGTTTGTTTAAACATAATTTAAATAGTCAATCAATAGTTTAAAATATTTGAAAATGCCCATCACTAATTTTTATTATTATTAATTGTTTAATACTTTATTTTAAGTATTCGTTAATTGTTTTCTCATTATAATGACGTGTACTTAATAAAAATTTTAGGTAGAACTAATCTAATATTTTTTGAAAACATTCGGTAGCTCATTCGAATAGTTTATTGTAAAAATAAACTATTCAGTTGCATAAAAACAATTTGAATAGTTATTCGTTAGTTTAAAATATTCGAAAATGCCCATTACTAGTATTAACGTTTAGAAGATTTTTATAAACATGAAAAAATGTTTAAAAACCTTAATTGAATTTGGCCTCTTTTAAATATATAGAAATTTTTAATATAAAGCAAAAGACATTAAAATTTTTATAAAATTTATCTATGAGAGTTATGCAGCATATCAAATCTATTAAAAAAGAGTATTCTGTGTAATTTAATAAATTGATATCAAGTTAATGAACACATTATGTTTATACAACAACTTAAAAATAAAACAATATTATTACATCCTGTTTTCGTGTTTCAAAAAAAATAATACTAGGTCATATAATTGGGGTGTTAATTAATTTTGTCAATACAAGTTAGGAAATAAATTATATTGTCCTAAAAGTATAGTTTTTTTACTAAAATATAATGAAATAGTTAAATCATTCAAACGTATAATATCAACATTTATACACGCTTATATTAGTTTCACATTTATGTTTGTTGTAAGTTTGTAACTCTCCACGTGCCATGTCTTATTATTTTTGCGTACCCGATTGTCTATGACCTTGAGACTAGACTGTCGTAATGCATTTACCCCATCCTGCCACCACACGCCGACAACACTAATCCTGTATAATTTTTTTTATGTCGATATTCGCAGATATATAGCCTTTATTATCAACAGTAGTAAGACACAGTTGTGAATTTATAAATACACTAACTGCCAATACAGAAATTCTATCTATTGATAGTTATAATTGATAATAAACACTCCGTGAATGTGATAGCGATGTCATAAAAAACTAAAAAGTTACAAACATATAGGTGAAACTAATATAAGCGTGTTAATAAATATAGTTTAAAAAATCAAAAACACACGCTTTTAAAGTACATCGCT